GGGGGGGGGGGGTAACTCAAACGGTGTTTTTCACCAGGAGAAGAGTGAAGGAGGGATGAAGCTTAGGCTGTTTGGGAGAGGGTTAGAGAGGGTTAGAACATTTACATTTCTGTGAGTTCTCTCTCTTTCACGGTTGACATGGACAGACCAGCAGGAGAAAGTAATAAACGTGAGGAATGTGTGACTGCTGGGAGTTAAAAAGCAAGATAAACTGCATGAAGTCCTTCAGTCAGATACAAGACTGTCTCATCAGGGAGGCGAGGCTGAATTCCTGCGGTCTGCATGTGTGAGTGGGAGAGAGAGGCTGAAGACATGAAACACAGATATGAAGATGAGTATCAGGAAGGCAGAGGTCAAGTCTAGTATTTGGGAAGAAATATCAACCAAATGTGGCAAAAAACAGGTGTGACGGAGAGAGAAAGAGACATTTATATCACATTCACAACAGAGTCAAAGTTACAAGAGTTAGGAAGAAGGAACAAGGAGAGAGGAGACAGTGTGTGGAGGTTAAGGTCGGGCCATAAAACAGGGTTAGATTTAGAGGGTTTGATTTAAATGCAGGGATAAGGTACAAGGGTCACAGTGCTTTTTTAATTATTGTCTTACATACATACATTTATTTTTTATTATTATTATTTATTTTTATTATTATTATTATTATTATTATTATTTGGTTTGTTTTGGGGTAAATATAAGTCTATTCTATGAGTCACACTCCGGACCTGAAGGTGGCGGTAAATCGCCAATGAGCTGGACGACAACCGCCGTCAAAACCAGAAGAAGAAGAAGAAGAAGCAGCAGCAGAAGAAGAATCGACGTACGCCAGACATCTTACGTTAACATCCACAACAAACATGGCGGACGGTGAGTTTACTGCACTTCCATTGATCCCGGTTTTGCCGTTTTTTAATCGTATTTAGTTTCTTTTTGTATTTTGTTTCCGGTTGTGTTTCATAGTTTAGTGACTCGGTTTGAAACACACCGTGGATTTTACCCGTTAGTGACGTTTATTCACCGGACAGGGAGCCTGAATGTGATGCTAAGCTAGTTTACCGTTTAATGCGCACGAATGTTTCAATGAGTTGTGAGTACAGACGTCTGTCCGATCAACGGACACGGAAGCAGGTTTAGAGCACATAACGTTCAGACTGTAATAAATAAAGTTATTAAAGACTTTATTTTATATTTGTCTCTTTGAACACGTGAGTAACTCCGAGTTTCATTGAGAGACGTTCACTAGTAAACAGACCTCTGTGTGGAGAGGAGGAGCTATATGTGTGTATATATAAATGTGTGTGT